TATATATATAGCTGGTCGAGGACGACGTCGTTGGCTTGAACCGCGTCCATCCTCAAGCTTTGGTCGGCGGCGGGCCCAGCCTCCGACCCACGGAGGAGCCCACACGGTCCATGTTGTGGCGAGAGCACCAAACTTCGGCGTTGTGTGACCGTTGCAGCCTCCTTTGTCCTGTTTGCTGGGAGACGAGACCCTCGCACGGCCCGACGACGATACGGACAGCACGGGACCCGCAGCAAATACTACGCAGCAAATACATGTTTCGTTAACAAGCAGAGACTCAGGTTTTCAAGTAAACTTAGAAAACGGGTCAAGAAACGTAGCTCAGCGGTGGATCCTACACTACACTCTGTATAACAAGCTGTGCTCGACAGCGGCGGGCGAAGTAAGAAACTGAGCCTCGACCCGATTTATAACGTTTCTTACCTCCGGGCCCGTTCTTTTTTTTACCGGCACCGGCCCGACGGGAGCAGGCAGCAGAGCCGCCATCTGGGCCTCCAGAGCTGACACAAACAGGTTGACTGATTTTTATCCCGATGCAGGCGGGAGATAATCTCGTCCCGCCTGCCCGCCCGGCGATAGCTCGCCATCGCTAGGTGCTCCCATCGGCCGATGTCCCACCGACAAACTGGGGTCATACGCGCAGCCAGATGATGACTTTGGTCGGGGTGTCCAACCGAACTCGACTGCGGCGAATTGTGCTGGCTGACCGACCTCTCTTGAGAAGCCGGCGAAGACGTGGCTTTTGTTCACCTTTCGACACAGCAACAGCCATTGAGAATACGTCTAGCAGAGATTGACTGCTCGTCACAGATGATTTCTCAATATAGGATGTATTGATTCGTTGTAAAGTGAGGGTTGAGTGACACGTCCTGGGTGATGATTAGGGACTCACGTCAGGTGTCGACGATCGCGTGGTATATGCTGGCAGGTGAGGACGAGGCTGCAGATGGCGGGAAGCCAGGGCAAGGCGCTGGGAGTGCGTTCGTGCGTTGCCAGCACCTTTAGGAACGAAGGTATGAAACTGGTAGTTGCACGTGTGTTGTGTGCTGCGATGTGTTTGTTGCGCGGGTTGTGTGCCTTGTTGCGTGGATAGTGTGGCATTCCCCATGTTGCTGTTGTTCATGTGGGTGTTTTCTTCTTTCATGAAGGCGTTCTGAGATGCGTTCAGTACCGCCTATTCCCTGACCTCTACACGTAAAAAGGTTAAGGGGTCACGTCCCATTTTAGTTGCTCAACCTTAAGCGTGACTGCACGAGCTCTCTCTGTCGTTTTTCACCAGAACACGCGTGTTTCTCCGGTCCTCTATGCGGAACTTTTTTATCGTTCATCAACGCTCCCTCCCTCCCTCTCTCTCTCTCTCTCTCTCTCTCTCTCTCTCTCTCTCTCTCTCTCTCTCTCCCTCTCTCCCTCTCTCTCTCTCTCTCTTTCTCTCTCTTTCTCTGTCTGTCTGTCTGTCTCTGTCTGTCTCTCTGCTGTGCTTTACCATGTACACGGCCGACAGGTATTCGGGCGTTCTACAAGGGAATGGCGTTCCCGCTGGCGGCGCAGGTTGTGTTCAAGGCCGTCATCTTCACGACAAACGGCATCGCCAGACGAGCGTTGGACAGAAGAGGCCTGGCCGACTCTCCGGCAGGAGTGTATGCTTGCGGAGCGCTGGGGGGTAAGACCAGAGGATGAGCAAGGCGACAGCCTACTTGCGTGTTTTTCCATGATTGTTTTCGTCCTGTCCGTTTTCTCCATTGTTTTTCCGGGTGTGGTTGGGGGCAAAAGAGGCCGTGGGGGTGGCACCACCCTCGTAGACAGTCTCAAATTTGTTCCAGGTGATATTTCTTGGGATGAGACCGGAGCTGGGTACGTGTGGGTCACCGCCTCCGCAGACAGAGAAAATAATAAAAGATGCCGTTCATTTTTAGGGATACCCTCACTCACAGCGGAAGGCGGTCCGAACAGGTGCTTGTTTTGTGTTTCCCGAGAGAAGGAAGGCCGCTTCTAGGCGGCACCGGTGCTTGTTGCCGTGCCAAGCCCGTAAAGCCGGACGCGAACGTGGCGACATCAAACCCATCCAATTGAAGCGGACATGAAAGCGCCAGCTGATACTTGATTGTCGGTGATCTCACATTAAGAAACCCGTTGTAACCTACTTTGGGTCCGCACTAGTATAGCCCGAGGAAAAGCACTGGCTCCTGTCACCATCTAGCCCGCACAAGCAGTGGCACGATAAAAGGAGTACAATCAGCCCGCTTTGGCGGTACGCGCACACTGCTGTGTAAAACTCGTGTTTTTTTGTCTCGAGCAAGAATGGCTTATTTTTCTTTTTTTTCCGTCATCCTATCAATCACCGTGTCGACGAAAAACAGGTTCAGAATTTCGTTATTTTTGAAAGTTGATCCGCCCTCACTCGTGAGTAAGCACGTGGGGCGTGGGGCATGGGGCGTAGCCTCGTTGTTTCTGTGGGCATCCCCTCGGCATGCGGCGCCTTCAGCAATGAGTTGCACGGTCAGAAACGACTCGAAGGGCACACAAAAACAGAAATGAGTGGTGTAACGAAGCCTTGCATCATCCTCGCGGCAGAACTAGTTCCCACAGATTCGGACGCTCCCCGCGCCTCCGCGTCCGCCCTTTCATCCTCGTCGTCGTTTGATTTTGCGTGCGTACCAAACCATCGACACACAACAAAAAAACAGGCGGGGTCAATTCCTTCATTGTCACGCCGGTGGAGCTCGTGCGGACTCGGCTCATGCTGCAGTACGGGGGGAAGCCGGCGAGCTCTGCGGGTGGCGGGGGGGGGGGCGGGGACGGTCGACTGCGGGGCCCCTTGGACTGCGTTCGCCAGGTCGTCCGGCGCAACGGGGTGTTTGGCATGTGGCAGGCGAGTTGTAGGGAACGAAAAATGTGAGAGGCGACGACGGCGTTGGTTTACGCATGCGATGGTGTTCGGAGGTGGTTGGTTGCCTGGGACAGAGACGGTTCGACGTGAAAGAAAGGGATGAATTTTTTTTTGTCTTGGGTACGCATACCTACCTTCCAAGGGTAGGTAATGTGTTGAAAGTTTTGGTCTTTGCTCCATCCGGTTGCGCCACAATCACAGCAAGATAGTACGAAAAAGGGAGCTACTCATGGCCACCCGTCAGGAAAAAGTGATGAAAGTACGAGGTACATCATAATGAGAGCACCCTTGCGCAGCAGCGAGACAATCGTGGTAGCAACAAGTATTTGGTCGTTTCGCGCATGGAACAATCCCGTACCAGCGTAAAAAAAAAATGCAGCGATGCGATCTTTATGGTGCCGGTGATTGAGGGCTTCTAGTACCAGTAACAACCATGTGGAGTCGCAAACTGAATACTTGAGCGCAACCCCCCTGCATCGCGTCGTCGCTCGTTCGTTTCACCGCCGAAGCAGGGTCTCAGGGTGACCCTGACGCGGGACTCACTGGGCATGGGCGCCTTCTTCCTGGCTTTCGACACGGTCAAGAGGGCACTGGCGAAACGTCGGTACGACAGCAGCAGCATCAGCAGCGGCGAGTTGTCGGGAAAGCGCCCCCCGGACTTCGATCACCTGCTGGTGGCGGGCTCCACAGCCGGTCTCTGCTTTTGGCTGGGTGAGACAAAGGTTTCCTGCTCGGACGTCGTTTTTCCTTCGCCGGCGCCGGGAAGCGGTCGTTTTTCCTTCTGGGAAACGCTAACACTATCCTACCTTGAGACCCCCCCGTCGTCGATGTTGTTGTTGTTGTTGTTGTTGTTGTTGTTGTTGTTGTCGTCACATAGAACGACATTCGGGTCTCTCTGGCCCAACTGATGCGGAAGCCAATTGCCCACTAGAGAAATACCACACCTTTCTAGAAATCAAGCAACGTGTGCTCAACACAAACACAACCTTGAGACCCCCCCCCCCTCTCTGAACACTTGTACCTTTGAGACCTTGCCCTCCCCCACCCCCGAACACCGCACCCCCTCGCTATACACCCCAGTGGCGCTTCCTTTGGACATGACCAAGACGGTAATCCAGGCGGCAGGGCGGAAGCGGGGCGAGGTCATCCCCGGAGGCGTTGCCACCCTGTCCCGCCTTTTCCGAGAGGGCGGACTGAGAAAGTAAGAAAAGAAAATAGATATAAGGTGCTTTGATGCGGGCCGATTGCACATGCGATTTTGTTGTCCGCCCGTGCGGACTGAGGTACGCTTGGATATTCTTGCGAAAGGCTTCAACGAGGCCGAAAAACCTCGGATCGATTTTTGAAGCCGTCAAAGCTCACCCACTAGTCAGGCAAAGCTACCTGGTACGTAGTAATCGAGACGACAAGGACAACGAACGAACCACCAACACATTCGTGTCCTGACCCACCTCAATGAGAAGGCGTTCTCGATACGGGTCGGCCACTCTGTTCAACACAAAATCTATGCCATGATCACAGCCGTTTTTTTTTTTGTTCCCGTCTGTCGGGGGCGAACCGCACGCGCAGCCTGTACATGGGCTGGCCGGTGGCGTTCGGGCGCGGGATTCCAGGGGCGGCCATCATGCTGGCGACGCACACGTTCGCCAGCCAGAAGCTCGCAGACTACTCGGCTGCGACCACCTCGCGCCCACCGCCGGCGGCGGCGGCGGCAGTGGCTGCGGTGGCAAAGCGGCCCACTCGGACGAACCGGATGGGCTGACTTTTTTTTTTGTACGGTTTCGACTGGTGCGAAGCTATTGGCCAAGGATTGTGGTTCTGCGTACCCCCTCCCCCGTCCCTGCGTGAGGCTGGAGGGGAGCGGCCGGTACCGAGTTTTTGGCATGGGTGTGTGTTTTCGCAAGCAGTAGCAACCGGGGGGGGTGGTGCGTGAAAGGGTGACCGATGCCTTGTCATCGTGTCTATACTGCCCCCGGGCAGGGTCTCGATCATCGCGGAAAGAGCGAACCCGGAGGAAATATAATTGGAGAAGACCGGGATGGTTCGCCCGTGCTCCTGTGTCCCAAGTTTTGACGTGTTACATCGTCGCAAGCCAGCGTCGGTGTGATCGATGGCCGGCATGCTTCTGACCGAGGCGTGCGGCTTTTCTTGTTTCATTTTTCTGTCAGAAGAGATGGAGATGTGTCTAACACTTGTGGAGATAGATATTTCTACAACACTTGTGGAGATAGCTTGAGGGCGTGTCGTTTGGTGAGAGGGTTTGTTGTTCTGTTCCGATTGTTATTTGTTTCGAGAGTTGCTTCGGTATTCCATTCTGACCGACTACTACAGAGCAATGTTCTGTGAACGGTGTACCATATGGTAGTTATTTATATGTCTGAGGCAATTCTGCCAAACGAAAAGCCTCTGCTTTGCCGTGCATATGGCGGCCAGCCAGCTCAAAGAACGATTTTTTCGGCGTACAGCATTAGTAGGCGATGCCACAGACGCATGCACCGCCATGCCTCATCGAATTATTTTTTATGTTGTGGTGCCACATGTCGCATTCTTTCTTCGAACGCTGACGTATTTCCCAATTCCACGAGAGCTTCTGTGTGATGTACGGCGTGTTGTGTTTTGTTCCATGGTGATCTTGGTGAATGTATGTAGCACAGAGCTCCACGCTTGATCTGTGCTACCGCCAGTCCAGTGGCGAACTATCTATCTGTGTGGTCCCGCACAATACATGCGGTGCGCTGCAGTTCGAATTCGAACGCCTCTTTCGGTGCTGTCCTTGTGCAATGTTGTTTGGATCCGATGTCGTGGCTGTACATACTAATCGACGGTTCGTGTTCTTTCCTTCTGTGTGTGGCGTCTCTGGGGGGCCCCGTTGGCCAGCCGCATGCGCGGGGGGGGGGGAGGCGGTACCCACGCTGAGAGATTTCTTGCTGTTTTCTGGGAGTGATCGTTAGGTTTTGTATCGTGTGCATGTGTAGGACCACAGCTATTATAGCTTTGAACTCTGTTGCGAGGGAAGTCCGCGGGGCTGGGGGGAACGGGGGTCACGTGAAACATCCGTTGTCGCCCCTCGACCGGCGTTGGATTGTTGTGTTTTGCACCAGCAGGTTGTGGAGATGGTTAACTTTCTTCACGGCTTTATACGGTGCCCACTGCAGTTTCCCCCCCTTATTTTGTAGCTCCGGTTCGAAGCGTGAGAGAGGTCGAGACTCATCAGTGGAAGGTTTCATCTGTGGGTAGAGGGACCTGGCGCCAATTGGCCGGCATGTATGGATGGGTCTCACATTCGTAAAATACGTATTGTTGTACTACGCAATTTGTGTGGTCTAAGCATCTTTGGGATGTAGAGGTGACCTTGAAAAGGGATCATCCCGCCTCCCGAACGTCTGCCGAGAACGATCGATTACTTTATCTCTTTCGACAGGAAATTCATACCATGGTATGGTACGTATAGGACACGTGTCCCGCCATTCCGCATGGCTTCGGTGTGCGGAACGAGTGGGGTTGCGCTCGAACACAGCGTACAGAGAAATTCAGAACCACGCTCAGACCCACCCGCCGAGCAGCGGGGCGGAAACATCAGTCACGTGGAAGGATAAATTCGACGATTTTCAACGCTGGAAAGAGAAAAGCAAACACCGTCATCGGTTTTTCATCAGGCAGTTGGACGTGTCTGACATCTTGTCACAAGTCCACACACTCCATGGCTCCCCGATAAAATCGGAAAGCTTTGTAAAATCTACCGGTTTCGAGCATCTGACTCTCTTCCGTCACGAAGGACAAAAAATGTGTTTCAACGGGACGCAGCAGGCGGTCGGTTGTACTCTCAACCGCACGAGAACACAATTCGCTGCTACCAAGTACCAGCCTTCAGGACAAGCCAACACCAACGGGCAGCTCCAAGAGTCTGATCACTTACAGACGATGTGCAAAGGTTCGAAAGACTCTACACCGACAAACTCGCAACACTCGTACACACGACGTATCCACCAGTACGAGTTATAGTATTATTGTCAGGGGGGCGACGCCTGGAGCGAGCGAGTGAACAGATTGCGTGCAACACACGACGACCTGAACGACTCCCTCCCGTATTTCCTCCCGGTAGCGACAACAAAAACCGAGACGAAAAACCATACAAGACCACATTCGGACACGTGGGAAAGTCCTTCTTGACCAACAACCTCCGTAGACACGAAGAAAACGAAAATACGTGACAAAAAACACAAGCGTACCAAAATTGCACACAAATCTGGAAGCCGCAGGAATCAGGCTTTCACAAAACAGCACGCCCTTCTAATTACGTCACGCACGGGACGACGTTTGTTTGTGCCGTTTGTTGGCACTGCGTCGTCGTGACCCGCCAGAACTAAAAAAGCGGAAAGCGAAAGAAAACGACGCGAAAATTCGAAACCTCCTCGGCGGGTAGAACCGCACATTGAACGGGGAAGGGAGATCCCCCCTCCTAGTACTCTCAAAGCTCACATACCGAAGCACATTGAACATCGCTGTGGTCAACACGTGCTAGTTGACAGACCGCACTACACCCTTAAGAGCAGAGCGTTCGATGCTAAAAACAGGCACACAGACAGATCCAAACACTACACACACACACACACACTAACAGTAGCGCGGCCGATGCTATGTAACAGCAGAGACACAAGCACATCGAGAGAAGCACAGGAGGTGCCGGAAGAAGGCAGAGGCTGTCACGCACGGCCACCACTTTCGTCGTCGAAGGCAATGTTGGATACGGCGGACGGGTCCAACGCGGACGTCCGTGGCGCCCCCGACGACACCACCGGCATCGGCAGCCACGGCTGGGCGAGAATCGGCCTCGCGGGGCTTCCCGCCCGTCCCCCACCCCCTGCTCGTCCCGTTCCTGCGTCTCCCTGTCCCCCCCCTGCTGCTGCCGCTGCTGCAGCTGGCAAGGGCATCCCCTTCCCCTCTCCCTGACGGCTTCGTGCCCGCGACGGCGTGTCAAGCGAAAAGTCGTCGTCGTCGTCGTCGTCGTTGCCGTTGCCGTTGTCTTGGCTGCTTCCACCGCCGCCACCGCTACCGTGATCGTTGCTCACTCGAAGGGACGGCCCTGCCCCCGTCGGAAGTGGAAGCGTCGCCGCCGCTGTTGTTGTTGTCGGCGGTGGTGGCTGTGATGACGTCGTCGTCCGAGGTGGTGGTGGTCGTGGTGGCGCCGGTAGCGTCGTCGCAGCAGCCGTCGGCACAGGCGTTCCTCCCTCCTCTGCTCCTGCTCCGGCTCCCGCTCCCGCTCCCGCTCCCGCTCCCGCTCCCGCTCCCGCTCCCGCCGCTGCTGCTTGTCTGGCCTCGATTTCATCGTCACCCCCCTCCACGTCAACCTCCAAATCGTCGTCTTCGACGAAGTTCTTCCGGTGGCTGTTAGCCAACACGTTGGACGTCCGCAACTTGCGAATCTCCGCCGCCGTGGCCTCGTCGATCTTGGGGGGGGGGCGCCGTGGTGGTCCCAGAAGCGCGGAGGGAAGGGGGGGGGGTGCCGAAGAAGAAGCGCCGGGAAGGGGAACGAACGGCATCATGCCGAACGGAGGACGGGAGCCAGCAAGAAGACGGGGGTGGGCGAAGGGAGCGGAAGGGGTTCCGAGAAGAGGGGCCGTCGCCGTCGCCATGAGCGGGCTTGGGGGGAAGGGGGCCAGTCCGTACGGCGAGAGACCGAACGGTGGATGGAAGAACGGAGGGATGAACGAAGGAGGAGGGGGAGGGGCGGCGAAACGTCCGCCGCCCATCGCTGGCGGGGCCGGGGCTAGAGGCGCCGGAGCCGCGCCAACGCGGCCGCCGCGGAGCGGGCCTGGCGGTACCTTCGACGCTCGGCCCAGCAGCTTCCTGGCCTTCCCGCTGACGACCGGTGACGCCTTGCTCCGCGCCGCAGCCGCCGCAGCCGCCGCAGCCGGTGCCGATGTAGACGGCTTCGCTGGTCGCGGCCGCATGGAAGACGGCGTTGCATCCGGCGGAGAAGAAGAAGCCAACGCGTGAGAGGCTGGCGTAGGGGAAGGAGGAGCGGAGGAAGCAGACGGGGCGGGGGAAAGGGTGGCCGCGGCGGCTCCGCTCCCGCCGCCCTCACCGCTGCCGCCGCTGCCGCTGCCGCTCACGCGGTCCCTCCAGGCCGTCGGCACGAACGCGGAGCTGCTCGGAATGTGCGGCGAAACCTTCTCGTGGCTGCGCATACCCGCGTACAGGAGCGTTCCCAACCCACCGTCGCCGCCGCCGTCGCTGCCGCCGCCGTCGCTGCCCCTGCTTTCGCTGCCGCCTCCGTGCTGGCTCTTCCTTTTTCGGGACTTTCGCTTTCGTCTGGTGGAAGGTGAGGACAACGACGCCGTTGTTCCCGATGGGAGACCTGCACACGGGCTCCTCCCCACCCCTCCCCGAACCTGCTGCTGCCCGTCAGTAATGGCAGCGCCGCAGGCACCAGCTGCACCAGCACCAGCACCGCCGTGTTCACCAACGAATTGTGTCTCGGTAGCGCTGAAGCCGGGAAGCAATCTCACCGCCCCTCCGGGGGCGACTCGCGTTGACGAGGACCCTGATGCTCGTGCTGATGTTACTCCAGGTGCTGCGCAACCCTCCGCCCGGGGCTGCCGCTCCTTTTGCTTCTGCTTGCCTTTTCCCTTCCGAGTTGCTCGTTCTCCTTGCACGCCTTGCTGCTCCATTTTTGTTTCAGTTCGGAGGAGGGTAGAAGCAGCATGAGAAAGAGGGAGAGAGGAGGAGGAGAGAGAGAGAGAGAGGGAGAGAGGAGGAGAAGCCGATAAATGTGTTCGTCATCGCCAAACGAGAGTGTTGGGAGCAGCGGGAAGGTAGGCGCCGCAAGAGGCCTGCACCACGCTGTCGTTGGGGTGTGAGAACAGCACAGGAATAGGCGACCTGACATCCAAGCACAGGCCGGCTATGGCTCCGCAAAACAACAGAGCGCTCCAGCAGGTGCGCAGCGGCACGCGTGCAACGCAGCCAGCAACGAACGAGACACCACCTCGAAGGACACATTTTTCCTCGTTCCGGAGGCGATGACGAATGTCTACTGCCTTGTGATTGTGGACAGACAAAGTGTAATCCATAGTTGTATGTGTGTTCGATATATCTCAGAACATACCGCGCATCAATGCATTCGTACGTAGTCTCCACGGTGACCCGAAAGCCGTACGTACTAAACGTCACACCAACAACGCGGGTACGCCGAATGCGCCTAAAACGCTAATACACAGCTTCCGAACGTCGCACCTCATCACCGGTTGAGTCGCTTTCGCTGTCGCTCTCTCCTGCTGGAGGCGTGTCCGGTGTGGGCATCGGAGGCATCCAATCCTTGGGGGCGTTCGGTATCGGCTCGTCGGGTGCGGCCATGAACTGGCGCAGCCGCATGAGGTTCTTGTGGAGCACTATCTGAAGGCTGAGGCGGTAGGGGGCGCACGGGGGGTGAGGAGACAGGAAGGCTGTCGTCAACTTCAACGCACCTCGCTGTTGTGCCGACTGCAGTCTGTCTGAGGCGCTTAGAGCAGTTTAAGGCAGCTCGCCAGCGAACCATGCCTCCACAAAAAGGAATCTCCTCATCTTGCGCACTGCTTATGGTCTGGTCTGGTATGTCTTTCATGTTAATTTAGCACAGCATCGACCGCTAACCGGCCGGCCAATGAAAATCTCGGCAATAGTGTGTGTGTGCATGGAGAGAGAGAGAGGGGGAGAGAAGGACACAGAGAGAGAGACACACACACAGAGAGAGAGAGAGAGAGAGAGAGAGAGAGAGAGAGAGAGAGAGAGAGAGAGAGAGAGAGCGAGGCAGACAGAGAGCACCCAACCCCGTTTGTTACCGCCAAGGCGAGGATTGCATCTTGTTACAGGGTACACGGGGGAGAGAGTAAACGTCCCGTGTTTCCATACATACGTCGGCAACGTTGTGTTTTGTGTTTCGCGCTACGACCAACACGAAAGACGCCTGTTCAAAAAGTGTTCCAGGAGACAAGTCGTGGTACATGTGCGTACGTAAATTGAGCACCCTCTCATTCGACCGCATGTTTGGGTGAGTTCCCAGGGTGTCGTTTACTACTGCTGTCCACAGCGGTAACTGCTGTGTACCAAGGGTGGACACTACTGTAGGTAAGAAGAGGAAGCTCTCACGACGTAGACTAGTACATTACATCGCACTACGTCATCCTCTAATAAATCAGGCCGTACACACTTGTGGGACTGGCCTTTCAACGAATTGCTCCTCACAGCAGTGCAGCAGCGGTGGCCACTGCTGTTGTATGTAGTGGCTCTCTCTATCTCGTGTGCTGATTCTAAGGTATACTACAACTGCTGTAGGCTCGTGAAAGCACACAAGACTATTGCTGTACCGACCTACACCTACATTTACGTGTCGATGTCTATAATAGTGCACAGCAGCAGAGCGTAGTCAAGCGATCAAGCGAACATGGGTCAGTAGACAAGGACCTTGAACCCGGCCGAAAGCTGTCATGGCAAAGATGCAGCCCACACCGAAGCCAACACCAACATGTTCGTACCATATGCTTGATAAAAGGATGCAACCCATTTACCGGACCATTTTTCGAAAATTCAAAAAACCGTCTCACCTAGTGGCATCAGCCAGGGCGCCCTGCTCCTGCTTTTCACGAATCAGGACCATCAGGTCCGCGTTTATTTCCAGAAGCTCATTCTCGGTAATTGTCATGACCGCCTTATTGCTGTTCCTGGTGCCGTGGCCAGAACACAGCACACGGCATTGACAACAAGCACAGAGCACAGCTTTGACACCTTGAGGGGGCTCCGCAGAACGATTCTTATCTGGCTTGGGTGTTTGTGTGATTGTTGTGTTTTCAGCAACACAGGCACTGGCACACCCACCGCAGCACACAGCAGCCGCAGCACAGGTGCAGCACACCGTGTATCTCCGTGTGCACGCCATGGTGGTGCGAGCAACGAGGGTTCTTGTGGGCAGGTGCCGCCAGATATCGGCCAGGTGATAAAAGCAATGCTCCAATGTGGTTCTGTTAGAGGAATCACGCATCATGTTGGTCTCCTGTCTCGTATGCATAGTCTACAATGCTAGATGCCGGTTTCCGCACTCGCTCTCTCTCGCTGCTATGCCACCTTTGTTCTTGGAAAGCCACGAGCGCGTGGGATACTCTGTTCCTCCCTCTGCAGTTGGCTTGGCTCGGGTCACCTCATGGAATGCACTATGTACTACATATCCACGAACGCCTGAGAGAGAACAGGTTCCCGTGAGCATCGCGCACGGAGCCACCACAAATGCTGACTAAACTGCAAGCTGTGGAGTACTGTGTAGCCAACGCGCCTTGACATTAGGCAACCGTCCCTCGTGATTAAACGAAAGGGTTGGACTAGCACTGCTGTCCGGTTGGGTTGTGCGGCTAAAGTCGTTATTCTGGTTGATATGACCGTGGTTGGTAGGCGGGATGGATGCGGTAGAGTTCGGTCGTGATAACACAAATAAAGCATGAGGAGCCCCGAGAAGTCGTGTGCTTCAATGCAAGAACCACAGACATACATAGCAAAGCACGAACTCTTTTGCTGCTGGAAGCGTGATTGTTCCGGTACCCACCATCTCCGCTAAGTAAACACTACGCCTATTGGTCCCGGGGGGGTTAAACGCAGCCATGGCAAGTGGCAAGTGCAACAGGGCCCAACAAGTTGCTCCGCCCTCTCTAATGTGCGCCTTCGCTCCGTTGTTGGCGTGAACACATACCAGCAGGTGCGCCGGCCAACGCCAACGCCACAGCCGCAACTACTACGGTGACGCGCCCGTGCGGCTGTCGGCTGCGCGATGCCTCGCCACCGTCACAGCGGCTCCAACGTCACGGCCGCAGCCCACGTCGTCGCTATCGTGCCCCGCGCGACCTCACAGCAGCAGCACCGCCGGTCGAAGAAGAAGCGGTGCAGCTTCGAACTCCACCAAGATACGATCGCCGTCGCCACAACAGCAGCAGCAGGGGCAACAGCAGCGATCAAAGACACCGGCAGTCGCTGCCTCAAGGAGAGCGCTGAGGTTTTGCTCTTCTAGCCCCGGTCAATGCCGACAGAGACAAACGCGGCAGGAGCCATACAAGACCGACGCCAGGAGCACCGGCGAAGGGGGAAAGGTAGACGATGGGGGGGGAGTACAACAGGGGGAGGGCGACAGGAGCAGCCGCGATGGCGAGCGTTTTGAGGAGGAGGAAGAGGAGGGAGCCGCTTCGATGGTTGAAAAGGTGTGTGTTTTCGTGGCGAGGAACAGATTGGATTTGGGAAGGGTTGGGACGTGTGGGCCGCCCACCTTTCTGTGTTGCTCGCGGGTGCGCACAAGCTCCGTGTGCCTGATCAAATTTTCTCGGACCTACCACACGTGCACTGTACACTCATGGTGTGGCTGTGACATGCTGCTTCCGTTTTTTCATCACGGGGTTTTGCATGACGTGACAACGCCAGAAATACCGTACCGTCTTCCCTTCGTAGTCTTTCTCGCGCGAGCTTCACCTTCATCACCTTCGTTACGTTCTTAACTTGTTGTCGTTGTTGTCGTTGTTGTCGATTGATTTGCACGCGAGTGGAAACCGCTCACACACCCATCCTGTCGACCGCGCGCCTGTCGCCTTTCCCTCTGACCCCTCTCTGTTTGGCGTGTACGTAATTTTTTTATGTCCACCCTTCCTCTCCTGCCTGTCCTGTGCTTGGTGCGTTCCCCCTCCAATGTCGTCGCGGAAAAGGAATCCGACCGTGTGTGGACCGTGCCAAACATGATCACTATGGGTCGGATAGCCTTCTGCCCTGTCCTGGCCAGCCTCATCGTCACCTCCCAGCATGAGCTAGCTCTCGCCGGTGAGAGAGATTCCTTGGTCCCCGTAGACGCCTTTTTATCTCTCCGAGGGCGGGGTAGGGTATCTATCCCGCACAGCCCGCGTGACTGAGTGGTGGCACAAGTTTGTCCTTGTGGCATATTTTTTTTCCTTGACGTGTCACATCCGTCTCCTGTTGTGCGGGATTATCCTAGAAACTTTTTGTCTATACGCGCACCCTGCGGGAAATATTCGCGGGTTCGATGTGCGACGGCGTCCGGTGGGCTTTTCGTGTATCGCGGGTTTCTGTTTTGTTTGTGCCTCGCACTTGTACCATATCCTGCGGGCGCTCAGCGGCTTGCCCACGCCCTTTGTGTCTTGTTGTTCACGTGTTCTCTTTTTGGTCGTAGTCGATACGCTCGATGGTGCCCGTTTGGTCCGGAGGTTACCCATGCAAAGCACGGATACGATTAAATACATACGTAGCCCCACTGGTGCTGTTGACGAAGTTACCGAGCTTCACCGTGCGTTGATGATAACGGAAGCGGTCTCTCATAAGATCCCTTGTGCGTGATGCTTGTTGTTGCTGTGCTGTTTTTTTTCCAGGGTTGCTGGCGGCGAGCTTAACGGACTGGCTGGACGGATACATCGCACGGAAGTGGAAGCAAACGGTGAGGAACAACGGCCGTAGTCGTCGCTGCGGCTGCTGCTGCTGCTGCTGTGTATAGCTATGTACAGCGCTGCCCCCTGCTTTGCTTTGAGACAACTTCAATGCTCCTTCCGTTCGGTGGCACAGCGTCTCCACCCTGTTTCCTCCCCACGAACTGATACAAGTGATGGGTTTCCTAACAAGCATGCCTGTTTCGCGGATAGAAGATCGTGGGAACGAAGCATTTCGACGGTATGCGCGTTCGCGAGAGAGGCACAAGCGCCAGCTGCCGGACTCGCGACATGCCCGTACCTCGGGTGTGTCGAGGTCTTGCTGCTGGCATTTGTGCTTCCCGCGAATGCGCATGCCTTCGAAATGCCTCGTGCCCGCATGTTTTCTATTCGCGAACAGGTTTAGTTGTTCGGAATCACCATCATTGGGCGGGGGCGGGGGGGGGGCAGGGAGAAATTGATTTGCCACGGAAAGAAGAAGCATTGCAGTTGTCTCAAAGTAGAGCGGGGGGCACCGTTGTACTTAGCTCTACATAGCAGCCCCGACGTTTTGCAGCGGGTTCTCTTTTGGGGCTGCGCGTCGTTTCGGGAAGCTGCCAGCCCTTCACTCCGCTATTTCTTCCCCGTCGCTCCTGAACAGTATGGTAGCGCATATCTCAGAAACAAAGATAATGTAGCGCCCGACATGAAATACCTACAATACATCTGTTGGACTCCCGATGATCATGTGTTATCGAAACCGTTCTTGTACGACATCACCCTTGAAATGTTTTCTCCGTTTGTTCTCCAACCGACCGCATCACAGTCAGTGCTTGGCGGGTTCTTGGACCCTTTGGCCGACAAAGTGATGGTCACCACGGTGGCCCTGGCTCTGGGTCAGCAGGGAATCGTTCCTACTGCCCTTGTGGTGAGGAAGGTGTTGAGGGAAATGGGTGGCGAGAGGGGATAGAGAGAGAAGCGGGGGTGGACGAGAGAGAGAGGGACACAGAGAGGGGCAGAGAAGGAGAGAGAGGGACAACGAGACAGAGAATGAGGGAGAGACACAGAGAGAGACACACACAGAGAGAGAGAGAGAGAGAGAGAGAGAGAGAGAGAGAGAGAGAGAGAGAGAGAGAGAGAGGCAGTAAGAACGGCATTGACGAAAGGCCAAGGGCTGGAGAAGAGCTTTGATGACGAGACCGCTGTTAATGACTCTCGGTGTTGTTTTTTCCTGTCCTTGCCTTGTCCAGGCACTAATGGTGGGGCGCGACGCGCTTCTCATCGCGGGGTCCATTGCCTACCGCTTCAAGACTCGAAGAGAGGGAGACGCTTTCTTCGACCTCGACTCCCTCGATTACAAGGTCACTCCCAGCACTCTCAGCAAAGTGAGGACAACTGCTGCTGCTGCTGCTTGTTTTGCTCAAACGTTGCCGCTGCTTGTACCCACGTGGTTGCTGCTGCTGCTGCTGCTACTTCCTCGGTCTGTTGTTGATATTGCTGCCGCTGCTGGACACCGTTGCGCGCAGTGTGGATGTACAGATGTACTGACGCTAAATATTCGTTTTCTTTGTTGGAAGCGCGTCTCGTAACGTCGCTCGATCCGCATGCACGGCACAGGGTGGTAGCTGGCAATGACCTTGTCGCGCACCCAACATGTCCTTTATTCCTAATACAACACCAGCAGCACCTTCAGAAATAGAGAAGACACACAACTCCCTCCCGTCTCTCAAAGCTCCCTGCCAACACGTTTGGTCTGCCCTGACTTTCTTCTTCCCCCTCCCCTTTTTTGTTGTTGTTGTCGACATCACCGTGAAAGGTGAACACCGTTCTGCAGTTCGGCACGCTCTGGCTGGGACTGACCAACTCCGTCTACCTCGTCCCAGGAGACGCCGTGTTTTCCGCCTTGTGGTAAGCGGGGGAACGAGGGAATAGTGTAGGAAGCGGTGTACAACCATAGTGGACTCTTTCCCTATCAGTCAGCGATACTAGGCTTCTAGCTTGTAGAACATCTCTCGCAACCGTTAGGGTGTTGTCAATACTCTTTTCTGTAACAAAACATTTGGTGATTGGTCACGATGCATCCTCGCCCTCCCCCCCCCCCCCCCTTTTTGACGATTTTGCCTCGTGGCGGTCGTTGTCTGCCGTAACACACTCAATAGAGCGGCCCAACCGTTGGAGGCGTAGGTCTCTCTCAGGAGTGCCGTCTGCGACCCGTTTCGGAAGAGATAGGTCATAGTGATCACTGGGGAAAAAGTGACTCGAACGCAGCACGCGTAACAAATGGCTACACTTAACCGCCTTGCCTGTTACACCTTCGACACACCCAGCCCATGTAACTGGCTGTCAAACCACCACACACACCTCTATGGTTCTACCGTACATTTGGTTCGGTCTGCTGGTGGTGCGCCACATAGGTTCTGGCCTACATTTTGTCGACTAACGTTGTCCCTTGACCCCCCCCCCCCTTGCCCACCGCGACCTTTGCCCGCACCTACTCGTGAAAACACCAACCACAATACACGACGAACCCGCACGAACGTGTTGTTATGCGTGCCTGGACACTGGGCAACAACCAGCGTCGGCACCGGGGTGGCCACGTTAGCGTCGGGAGTCAACTACCTCCTGGTGTCCGGGCTGAAGCCCAAGGGAAGGCTCGGCAAGCGCCTCATGATTCAGAGGGAGAACCTTCAGGAGCGGTACCGCGAGAGGGAGGTGCTGGTCAGGGAGAGGATGGGGGTCGGGCGGGAGCGCATGCGGGTCAGGAAGGTGCGCGTGTGCTGCCGCCGGCTGCGTTGATGCCGCCGCCTTTCTTGCTGGATTTATTTTGCCCCCTGGCGTGTTTCTCGAAGGATGTACTTGCTGTAGTCGGTGTGTTCGTGTGCAAGGGAAGGCAGAGTATATCGAGTGTGCCCCTTGCTTCCGCGCAGCCAAACTTGCCACCCTTTCCACCGAGATGTGATCTCCAACAGCGCTAGGCACCACGCCATCCGTTGACCAATTTCATCATCGCTTGAGTTCCGGGAGCAGCTGGTTGGTAATCTACAGCAGTTGGTTCCCAGTCAGTGTCTACGAGTTTCCCCCCTCCAAAAATGCCTTCGCAAGTTGGGCTGAAAGCGAGGGTCCCTCCTGCGTGTCGTTCAATTAGGGGGCTCTAGCTGCGGAGGGGTAGCTGGCTGTCAAAAACCTCCCTACATATGACGAACAAATTTCGCCGTTCTTCGTCTGAATACGAAACGATAGCGTTTTCTTCTTCCACTCACCGAACACGAACAACTAACTACGCATGCAACGAATTACTTTTTCGCTGCCCCCTCCCAAACCCCACCGCGCTTGTGTGCTCACAAGGGCGAGCTCAACGATAGGCTGAAGGCGAGGCGGCACAAAGTCGCTGGTGCTTTGAAGGACCGGATGAGTAGAGGAAGGCGGCAGAGAGCCGTCGACGGTGGGGCCCGTGTGAAGGGTCGGCCGGCGAACAGGGGCGGGTGAACACCATCTTACCTTCAGGTGACACATATGTTTGTTGTTGGTGTTCTTGGTGTTGGTGTTGTCGTTCTTGGTGTTGTCGGTTGTCAGTGTCGGTGTTGGTGTTGGTGCTGTTGGTGTGGTGATGTTTTTTGTGATAGTGTCGTCTTCGGCGCGTTGCACCACGCTAAACATGTGAGGGGCCGTTCTTTTGTCCGTCTCACCATCGATCCCTAACTCCACCTGCCCTGCGCCTCTCGTCTGCCCTGCGCCAGGTATCGAGCCTATTATATATGCGAGCGACCGGTATGGCAGCGAGAGTGGCAAACGGTATACGGCATGCGTGACAGCGCTGGAAGACGATCGTGCGATCCAGAAAGATGCCTGAGCTCCTGGGGGAGGCGTGTTGGGGAGGGGGGCGGGGGGGGCGTATTATTATGTTTTGCATCCGTTGACCACGCGTCCTCGAGGGGAGGGTGGAGGGGGAGACTCATGCATCCTTGCTATTTATCCTTAGACTCATGAACGATAAATGCATAGCTCGGTTGAGACTATTATACTAGGTGGCGTTTCGTGGTATGTTACCATTTTAGACCTTTTGTACCATGTACATAGACGAGACGGAACACGCCGCGCCCAAGAACACGCCCCCTGTGTGCCCCCACGCCTAGAGTGAATATGCTGTTATTTTGTGTTGTGCTCTGAGGCTTTTTGGTGGTAAACTCGGTACGATTATTCACCTTTTTCTAAGATAAACACCGGGTACTTGCGTCATCACCCGGTTGACCTTTGCTGTTTACTTGGCGGGCTGAGGGCGTTCCCTGCGGTCTGCCCAAATCTCTCAAATCTCCGGATGAACGTTGCCGATCGCCCTCCGTGCGGTGTGCCAGTCACGCATGGGCGAAGTCTTGACATCGGCGTACCCGTAAAAGGGGGGTCGGGAGTGGTTCCAGCCTATCCACAGCCTATCCACAATCCGGCAACCCTTGTGGATGTTGTGTTTTCAGCGGTTGCTGTACCAGTACTATCTTGTTTGCCGTTCTCGGAACCAAGCTTGATTGGGATGATACACAATTACCGGAAATGCTTCCGCTCTGTTTTGACGTGTCGAAAAACTGTCAAGAACCACCGTTTTTTATTTTTTACTTTGCTTTTATGTTGGCGAGCAGCGTGATAGCCTTGACGGCGATCAGACTGGGAAGAACAGCCCGGTGAAGCTTGTCAAAAGTTGTTTCCGCACTGAAAACTGAGGGCATTGTGAGGTTGGTGCGTGTACGCGTTAAGGAAGGGTATGGCAAGGAATGGCCGTCCTCGGTTTTTCCTCTCCACTCCCGGGATCAGACCTTGCAGCACGACTTATCTCATGGGAGATGGAGCACGCTTCGGGACTGCGGCGGGGCTGTCATCGTGTGGCATTGCTTTGCTTACGTACGGCCAACGGAGCAAATATTCCTGGGTATAGATGGCTCTGCGCTTTGTTGACCCCTGCGGCCAGGAGATGCTGTTCGTTGGGCCCGCCGTATTTAGCCGCTGTTACTTTTTTAGTTGGTCTGGTACGTGAAACGAATCCACGTCTTAACGTTGGGTCCTGTGGGGTATTTCGGCGACAGAGTCTTAATTTGTGCTGTCGTGGCCTGTTTTGTTTGTGCTTCTGCTTGCCAAACACCATAGACTAGTGATAAGACGCTTCGTTAGTGTTGCTTCCCTTGTGCGTAACAAAAGGCCCTGGATAGCGTAGCACGTTGTGGGTGAGAATTGGTTACGGGCTGGCGATAGACGTTTTCCGTTCCTCCTCGCAGTCTGTTAATGCGTCTGTTCGTTCCACCAGGACCTTCGATACGCATCGGTTGCAGCAGGTTCACAGGCTGGCTCCTTTAAGTGACTCGTGCTGTACCCCTGCGCCAAAAAAGACAAGCTGCTAAGGCTTGCAGGACACTTGTGGCCTGGATCGAAATCTTCCACTTTTTTTCGTTGCCACGAACAAGACGGACGAGACTTATTTTGTTGTTAGGCTGATGCCCCAGAGTAGGAACATGAACCGCACTTGGATGACCCGAAATCCTTTCCATCTTGCTTCGTCGTGAAAATTCGGCAACACATGTATCGCGGGCGTGGATGAAACGATCCCCCTCCCGACGCCGCGCCTAGATCTTTGGAGCTCACACGAGCGTTTGGCAGCAGTCACGATTCAAAACTAAATACTGTGCCGATTGTCTGGCTCGCCTAACCGAGAAAATTATCCTCTCTTTGGGCTTGCTTGCCGTGTCCCGAATGTCTAATATGATGCTGAAGACGTAACTGCTAAAGGAAACCGTTTGTGCTTGGTGCTCGTGGTCATTTGCGTTCTCCATATACATATCAACTCTCGAGCCCCGGCCGACCCTTCCGTTTTTCGTCCTTCCTGTCGCGGCACAAGCAATCGCTCAATGAAGGATGCCTCGACTGTTTACGCCCACGAAGAGCGGAGAAAGAACAAACGTGATGAACCAGTGGCCGAATGCTCCGTGAGGTAGGTGGGTACTTCGTCGACTTTCTTGGCAGTCAAGCAAAGTCAAGCTCTCATTTTGCTGTTGTTCACAAACCATGAAGCTGTTAGATGAACAGCATATATCCACTATGCTACAAGTCAGCAAGTCAGCGCTGACTTGTAGGATAACGGATATGCTGTATCTAACAGAAGCTGTTGTCTGTGGTGTGTGTGCTGTCAACAGAACGCCCTCTTCAGCTCCGTTGTGAGAACACATGCGAAACAGCGCAGCAGTAGGTGCACTGTTTTGTTCGGGACCACCCTCGCTAAAACCTACTCGAGGAACGGTTATTGTCTTCCAGAAACTGTCAATGCCTTCCGTAACAGGGACAACGTGTGCCTCCCCCGACTCCATACACTTGTCCATCGGTACTATACCTACGCTGGTTGACCTAAGAACACGGACACGTTTTATCCATCCTCGGTGTCGTGTCAGGCTTTGCGCTTGGCCGTGGTCGAACTCCTCGCCGACCGCACGTGACCGCCGATGTTGTACCCCCTCAGGCAAGCGTAAGGGTCCCACGTTCCTTGCCCCTGCTCCGGTTGTCTGTCGTCTCGGATGAGCTTCACGTTTTGAGTCAGTCCGGGGTCGTTGCCATCGGCGATGTTGCTGACCTTGTACGCACGAGTGCTCAAGAGCTTGCTAGTCTGAAGGGCAGAGTGTGATGAGCGTGCAGAGCGGCGGGGGGCGGGGCAGAGAAAAACGAGAGGGCATTACGGATCTTGCATCCACGTATGTAACTAATATCCATCGTTTGAGCCGTGTTGTCGAGATAAGTATGACACAATCTTCTTGCGACAACATTCGGCCCTTTGCGAGTAGAACACTGTCGTCCGGTGAGTATTTCATTTCAAGACAAGGGACATTGTTCGGCCCGTTTCCCCCGCAAACACAGCTGCTCTACTCTAAGCCCGAGTTAAAGAGTTTGAGATACACTGCAGGCACACCACATTGACAGAAAGAGGAGGATAGGTTTACATGGTTGGCTATGCCCGCTGGGGTGTGGCCCATGTCCTTGACGAACATCTCAGCCGGAGCAACTTCGGCGCTAAACTTGGCCCTGCCGCCCTTTCTTTTCGCCCCGCCGCCGCCGGAGCACCCTGTCGACATGTTTTCAGTCGATGCAAGAACTTTGCCAGCTTGAGCCCGTCCGACGACCGTGGTCTCCGCAAGAGCGCAACTTCTATCGCCTCCGCCACCACGCCCTACATCCCCGTCCAGAGTCTTCCCGCCGCCACCGATGTTTCCATGCGCGCAAGATTTTGAAGCCCGGCCCGCCTGCTTACTAGCTGCTCCTCCGGCAATTTCGGGGAAGATGACCTTGAATCGTGCTATCTGCTTTTCTCGGTATCCCATGATGAGCTTCTGAGCGTCGTGAAAGCTCACGAGTCCCGAGGCATATCTTGGTAAGGTTGACAGCAGGTCGACGACCTCCCCTCGGGTGACTTGTCGGCGATAGCCGCGGCCTTTCGCCGTCTTGAGGTGGCTGTCCGCCTGCGCGATGACCTCTTCCTTCTGGGCATCGTTCAAGACGAACAACGGCCTCCCGCCCGAAATGTAGACCTTTGCGTTTGATCCATTGATTCATTCGTAGGGTTGCATAACATGGGACGTTAACCGGAACCTGAGTATTGTTTCGAGAGAGGTTGGAGCATGAAGGATCGTGCTGCGAAGCGATCGATGGCAACGGTGTAGGCTCGATGCTCATTGTTTTGGCGGGAAATACAATGTAGTATCGCTCCGGGTGGCTATGAAGGCTCACTTGACTTGTTGTGACGAGGCAACTCCAAGTGTGTTGACTGATAAGGATGGTGCATGTTGGTGGGGTAGATCTCTGCTGCCTAAAGTGCCCCCCTCTTTGGCAGTCTTCCAACTGGTGAGAGTATACATGGTTTCTCGTATCGCTTCGAAGTATCAAACAAGAATTCGACTCCATGAAGACCACGCATACAACTATTGCACGTTCATTCGACATGTGCAAAATACGTACCGCTGTTAGGTAAACTCTATGTACAACACGCCCGCACAAGTTTTGACACCCAGAGATCATACCTACCTACAATACGTGTGTGTGCCTCACACCTGTAAGATGTCCTCACGCTCGAATTGAAGGCACATTGTATCTATCTCCCACGTGCTTACAACCCGTTGCCCGTTGTATCCAGAGCGTAGCTCCGAGTTGGAGTCCAGCGGGCCGTACAGGGCGAATGCGTATAGCCTGCCCGTCGATAGTGGATGCTGCAGCGACTTCGGAAAAATGAACTCAAGAAGCTCTTGCACATTCACCTTGCCATCTCGCTTCCCCGTAGCGTTGTCATCACTGACGGCACCCATTTTTCTGCAAACGCAAGCGTAGATGGGTTTTCAGAGAGAGAGTGATCCATGCATGTTGCATGTTGCATGTTGCCAAGGCGAAGAAAATCATTCCGCCGCGTTTTCCCGAGGGGGAACGAAAGGTGGTGGAGAACCCGTGTCCACCTCACCACGCTCACAACCGCACACCACACCACTCTGTCCATCTTCAACCGCGAGGCCGCGTACAAACCCTATGAATAACGTCTCGGCTACGCGCCCTCTCGCGTACCGCGGCTACAAGGGAACCTTTCGTAGAGAATATACGCGACACATGACCGTCCTTCTCTGAAAGCGGCGCAATGCACTTCGACGTAACGGCCGACCACATACGTAGGTTTTATTCAACATCCGCGCTTGTGTGCCGTCTTGAAGTGGGGAACCCGACACCCTATACCCTTCGAGACAGACACCGCGGGTCCGCACGTACACACCCTGGATAATTTTCTTGTACACCTTTTTGGGTTGTGCCCTTGCAAAGCCGACCCCAGTCCGTACCAATGGTGGAGGCGGAGAAGTTGCCCACTGCCGTGCGAACAAAGATGAAACACAGTGATCCCTGGCAAGCCACTGCAATGGACGAGGAGGCTGAGTGCCTAGACTGGGCCGCGAAGGATGGGCAGAAGCCCGCAGGGAACTTCGACGCTGACTACGCCGCTCTGTGTCGGTGTGTTAACCATGGCGATGACACCAACCCTGACCGTTGTTGTAGCAACCGTCGTGGAACCGGACACAACATTCCTGTAAAGCAGAAAGGGTGATGAACAAATACCAGACACGTGTCAATCTTGTCAAGCAGTTGTTCTGTTGGTCTTCCGGCTGTGTACATTTCCTCCATAGGTTGTCCTGTTTGAGTGCATTTCCCCCCAGCTTCACTCGTATGGCTCTTGCTCTTTTCTATGCCTTCCTTGCCTCCCTTGTCCTCTCGCCAAACAAGACTTTTCGAGGTTCCAGCTCATCCATGCCTCGCGTCACGACTGCCGGGAGACACCCCAAATCAAGACGCCTCAGCAGCAGCAGCCTCGAAAACAACATCGTCGACTATCCAACTCCGAAACTTTGCGGTGGATCTCACGACTGTACGCCTCATGATGGAGGCGCTCAAGAGATCCTCCGATGTCGACACAGTCGATTTTCACAACGCTGGCCTAACGGGAGCTTCCATTGATGTTCTCGTAGAAGGCCTTCCACACACAACAGTTCGCTGTTTCGCCCTGGACTACAACACCCTGCCGGTGGTACTGTCGTCGTCGTCACCGCCCACGAGACCACCCCCCTCAGGACCAACTGAGCCTGCACTGGAGGAGGCGCCGGCGACCGAGGGTTTTTCATCGTTGACTAGAAATTTTGCCGGCCTTGTCAGTGAAGGTGAGGACCAGCGCTCAAGATCTCATTTTTGTATGAGATTGTCTTGCAGGGAGCAGCTTGCTCTAAGAGGGTGCGCTACTTGACGCCAGCTTGAATGCTTCAAGAAAACTCACAAACATACGCATTTTTGTACCCATCCATGGCCAGGCTTTCGAAATATTGGTACGAAGACCGCCTTCAGTCTTCACATGATTACAGTAACACTTGTGCTGTGCCACAGCTTTAGTCTGTTTCGCCGTACATCGGGCGCTCCTGCGCTTGTAACCACACAGCCAAAATGATGTTTATCTTTGAATCCTACGTCCACAGGCTCAAAGCTCAAGGCGCTATCCCTCAGAGGCAACGCACTCGGAGACGCCGAGGCTATTGCCCTCGCTGAGGCCATCGAAGAGAACACTGCCCTTTGCTCCCTCAATCTCTTCGACAACAAAATCACGGACGTCGGGTGAGTGAAGTTCGAAACTCGTAGACAACTCCGCTTTGATCACGGTACGGCGTGGAGAGCGCTGGAAGTCTGTGTGGATAGGTGTGTACAGCGGAACAGCGGGTGGGTGTGGATGCCGGAGACAGAATAATCCTAGCTCGTGATAACTACACGGCCATCGTCTTACCTTCCCGTTGTTTGGAGATTTTCTAAGGTATCGATTGCCGTAGGAAACGTCCCACGTAGCAATAGCAATACAACGGTAGAGTCCGGAAAATGCTTGCCAAGCCATCGTTCAGCTGGCGCTTGAAAGCGTACCACCATTTTTTTAATCTGGTGCACGTTCTGTGTGTGGGCTGTTTCTACATCCACCGCCGAGTGCACACCGCAATGCCCTGACTCACGAATGCTTGCAAAGCGACTTGAAACACATCTCGTTGGTCGTGTACGGCTTTCCCTTGCAACACGCATGAAGCAACATCACCCAGTGTGCACATGCGTGTGCGTGCCGAACCACATGCCCCAAAACGCCAACGCAGAGCCTCGGCGTTCGCGGCGACCCTGAGAATCAACACCGTCCTGCGCGGCCTGTCTCTGGCGAGAAATTCCCTGACCCCTGCCTCCGCGGAGGCCTTCGGGCTGTTGCTGGCAGGGGGCTACGAGGTCCTTCCCGCAGAGCAAGAGAAGCGGGCGGCCGCGGACGTCAAGATAGCGGCGCAGAACAAGCTGGCCGCGGACGCCATGAAGAAGAAGAAAGACGCCAAAGTCGAGACGCGCCTCCCGCTGAGCGCGGTGACGGTCCGGACCGGGGAGGACGGGCGAAGCAGGGCCGTCGCCGGAGGCAGCCGGAGCTTGGCCGCACTCAACCTCGCGGACAATCGGGACCTTGGCGAGGGCGGGGCGCTCGCGGGACTCCTTTCGAGGATCGTGAACGCGAGGAAAGAGGAGGCGGGGGAGGCGGGGGAGGGGGCCGGTTTCGGGGCCGGGGGCGGGTCGGTCGTGCTCCAGGAGCTGCACTTGACGCGCTGTCAGGGATATGCCGAGGAAGCTGGTGGAGAGGACGATACGGCGATAGCCGCGATGTCGTTTGCGCTGAGGCCGACCAAAGTTGTGGTATAAAAAAATGCTGGTTGTCGATTCGGAGTATGTAGTAGGCGGTGATTGTTACGGTCGATCGTTGGAGTGAAAGCTGAGTTCATGCCGTTGCTGGTCGGAAGCCAGCATGCGATTGACTATCGTTTTTCCTGATGATACCTTTGGCGTAAGCATATGCATGAGAAATTTGTTCAACACGAGCGTGACCTGTCCAAGCCGGGTTACGCTTCAAGCACGAGGGGTTGCCAAGGCTAAGATTACGGACGCGTTTTGTTCACATATATGCAACAACCTTACGGAACAACCCGTCGTCCACTTCCGCCAGCGCCAGTAGCGCAAAGCAGGCGCCAGAGGACTTGCGGTGGGCTTCGATCCAGTCGGTACCATCACCCCCATCGTCACTGTCGTTGCCACTTGAGTTGGCGGCTCCTCCAATCCCGATCCCGTTTGCTCGAGTGTTGGCGGTAGCGGCGACAGCAGCGGCACGGCCGTTGTCATCACCGCCACCAGTGGCTTGCCCGAAAAGTGGAGAGGTGGCACCACTGTGGCGGCTCCTTGCTCCTCTTGCCCCCCCCCCTCCTCCTCCTCCTCCTCCACCTCCTCCTCCTCCGCCTCCTCCGCCTCCTCCGCCTCCTCCGCCTCCTGCTGCTGCTGCCATCGTGCGGATCATCTTCGTGGCACGGTTTCGTCCATCGCTACTCTTCTTGTTCGCATTACTGCGACTTCCACTCCTGAGCAGATCTTCACCTCCTCCACCTTGGTGGCAATCCACCATGTCGCGCGGCATCTTGCTCAAGAGGTAGCGGCTGCGGCAGAGGACAAGCCAACCGCGGCGGCGCCAGGTCCTGTCGACGTGGGCATTCGCCAGCAGGCGAATCACATGCTCCTTTTTCTCTTTCCTCTGCCCTTCCGGGAGCACTAGCTCGTCGTCCGCCACGCTGGTCCCGACAACATCGGCTGTGTGCCGTGGTAAGAAGCGCAGCAAGGGCACTGGCAAGTGTTTCTAACGGCGATCCAAGAGGTATTAAGGAGAAAATGGCATTTTGGGTTATTGAGTGATTCCGTGGACTCTGTACGGGAGGTCCGCAACATCTTTAGATATTATTCACGCCATCAGCAGGCCGGGTGGTACATACTGAGTACGCTGCAAAATCGCGCTATTGAAACATTGACCGCCTCTCCTGAAGTGCCCAACATTCGTTTGGGACACGTCACTTGGAAAGATTGCACTGCACGAATGGGCTGCAAACAGTCCGATGGTGCTGCTTCAAGCACAAATCAGAGGCGTACAGTGTATGGTACAGTGGGCGTGGATGGTTGTGAGCAAACACCCAAACACACCTGGAACGTCGCCGTTGTGGTTGGCCTTCCCTTCGTCGGCGCCCCATCTGGGGGAAAAGTGCGCAAGGAGTTTAACGAACGAAAACAAAAAGCGGCAACGGCGACGTCGGCATCGTCAACACGCACTTCAAAAAAGCCTTGCTTTGGAACGAGCGTCAGGTTTTGGGTGTCCCCCATCCTGCTTCGTAACCGCTGGGTGTTTCACTCGGCGTCGTAGGACGGCGGATTGACCAAAACTAGCCCTGGGCAATCAACCCCACCGCACCTCAGCAGGAGGTCCACTACCCGATCAGCTTGGGTCCTGGCCGCCATGTGCAGCGGGCACTCTCCAGCCATTTCGATGGCATCGACGTCGGCGCCACATCTCAAAAGCGAGCGCACGACATCGCAGCAGCTGTTAAACCTGCGAACGGCGGTGATAAAAAAAATAAACGCAAGAGATTTCCGAGATGCACGTACAGCCTTATCAACTTGGTAGAAAGGGAGGTACTAGGGAGACGCTCACTTAGTGGCTCTTCGATACCGTAACATTAATTACAGACCCAGTAGGAGTTATACAATAGTCTAACGGTAACCAACGACGACGGTGACTCTATTCGCTGCTTCACCTTGCGGCACTGTGAAGAGGGCTCCACTGCCGGACGTCACGCGCCTCGACGTCGGCGCCGGCCTCCACGAGCGCGCGAGCCGCGGCTACCTGGTTGTTGTCTGCCGCCGTGTGGAGCGCCGTGTACCCGGTGGAATCGCCAGCGTTGATGTCTACCCCGTGGAGGACAAGGGCTCTCAGAACGCCCATGTGCCCGTCCGAAACAGCCGAGTCGAGCGGCGACAGCTCGTGCTCCCCGAACCGAATTCCGGGGTTCGCGCCGGCCATCAGAAGAGGCCCGACCATGTTGTGGGCTCCTTTTTGCGCCGCTACGTGCAAGGGGGTCTTCGGAGAGAGAGAGAGAGAGAGAGAGAGAGAGAGAGAGAGAGAGAGAGAGAGAGAGAGAGAGAGAGAGAGAGAGAGAGAGAGAGAGAGAGAGAGAGAGAGAGAAAGCGGTGAATACATACAAGGGGGGGAAGGGAAGGTGGGCTCGTTCGTGGTTTGCTTTGCCTACAGAAAGATGGCCATCGCAATGACCACGTGCCGAGACAAAGCAGGGGTGCAGGGGAGGAGAATCTTGCCTACTTTGAATTTCTTCTTTCCAACGACTATTTCTCGGCGTCAATTACTCCGAAACTACAGGCGTTGTTTTCCTCGTTCTAGGCTATCCCCCATTCCCTCTCCTACCAAGCGTGAAGCGTTGCAACCGGCTTCACCTCGTCGACCCGAGGGACTACCAAGGGAACGCAGCTGTTTCTACTTTTTGGTCGGCGTTGCGGCACGTGTATCTGCGACTAGACCATGCACAGTGTGCTTGCTTACGCGGCCCTGAAAGTCCAGAGCGTTCTTGTCGGCGCCCTTGAGCAGAAGCGCGCTTACGATGCGCGCATGGCCACCGTACGCAGCGGCGACATGCAAGGGAGAGTCTCCCTTCTTGTCCTTCCCGTTCGGGCTGGCCCCTCCGAGTAGCAGGGAACACACGACGTTGTCATGCCCTCCCCTGGCATGTATTACCACGACCAGCGGTCAAGCAGGGGAGGAAGTGGTGGATGTGGGTCTATTGTGTCAAGCAGGGAATAGAGCGTCCAGCGAGCAGAGCCCTACGCGTTTAAGCTAGCGAGAACAAAAGTGTAGTATGTTTGGAACGGCAGGTACGACTCGTATCGCAACACGTCAAACCCAAAGGAAATAAAGCCGCACTGCCTGTCGCTGGGGCTGTTTTCTGCGAGAAATAGGCAGATAAAACCTACAAACAACAGGGCACTTGCTCCTTACCAGCCCAAGTATCAACTCTTGTGCGGGCTGGTATCACTGATCCGTCCGTGTATCGGCTTAGCAGACTCTAATACGTCCAGTTTCCAACAGGGCTTCCTCAATACTCGCTTGGCAGAGCTCAACACATCCCTTCGATTGGGGTAAATCTCGAACGGTCGCCTTTAATGTGTTCCACACAACCAAGGTAGAACAAGGACCGAACACGCAACCTACGAGGGTGTGAAGTCTTACAGTTTCCCACGTAGTCAGTGAACAGTCCACTGCTCATAGCAGTGTAATTCGTTCACTAGGAAACGCAAGCCCACTCGTCTTACGCCACGAAGCGAGAAAATCGGGCATCATTTCTGATTGGGTCGCTTTTCGAAGGACACACGTAGAGAAGTTCTCGTTGATGAGCGTCGTTGACGTCGAGAATCGTTTGACGTCAAGTACCGTTGACGTTATGCATCGTTGGTGATGTTTGTGGGAGAGAGGGAGAGAGGGATAGAGAGAGAGAGAGAATTGCCGTGTATGTTTTGCCCTCGCACACGCACCAGCCATTTTCTCATATCTCGACTTTAGATTGCGAATGTCCGCCTGTCGCTCGTCCACACGTACCTAGCCGCCCTATCCTGGAGCGGATTATCGTCGGCAGAACATACCCCACAGTGTGCGGGGATTTCTGCCTGCCATATGCAGTGCCCTCCTACTCCTCTCGATGTGGTGTTGCCTAGCAGTAGGACTAACGGTAACAAATGACGGTACCACCACCACCACCACCACTACCACTACCACCAGCGTTCCTTCTGGGAGGATGGTCTACGTGCTTACCTTATTGCCAGGGCCAACGCCCCGCGCTTTTCGCCATCGAGCAAGTTGACGTTCGCTCCAGCCATCATCAGGACCCGGGTCGCGGCCTCGTGTCCGTGAAGTGCCGCATGGTGTAGGGGCCCCCTGTTGCTTGCGCGCACATGAAAGGACACCGGCCGCGAAGGAAGCGAAGGGGATACAAATATCGGTAATGTAGTGCTGTGGAGATCTCTGCGAACATTGGTGGCTGAAACCTTTCCAGATCTCCTGAGTATATCATGCTGGCCACTTCTAAGAGAAGAGAAAACGATCGCTACTGTGCACAGCAAATTCAGCGGAAGAGTCTCCGGCAATCTTGCCATTGACTCTGTCTTCCGCCAAATTATTTTATCGCCAATTCAACAGGAAAAGAGAGAAGCTCCTGTCATAAAAGGTGGAGAAGTTGAACTCCGAGAAATACCGCGCTGGAAGTATCCTCAGAAGTAGACACTCTCGGCAACACCCTTAGTTTGCACCTCATGCGTTACACACCTTTTTTTCTTGCCTGAACGTATCCCAAGATCCGGCTTCGCGCCTGCATTCAAGATAGCGGAGACCACGTTTCCGTTCCCGCCTTTCGCAGCCGCGTCGAGGATAGTTCGGCCGCCGCGGCCCCTCACACCTGATGCTCCCGTGCCCCCTGCTTTGAGAAGGGCGGTCACGAGGTCGAACTTGCCTTGGGCCGCTGCGTGTTCCACCTGCTTGTTGTGAGAGAGGGAATTGTGGTTCTTGATGACCGCTTGCGCTCGACAATGTTACTCTCTCTTGCTTGCGAACGCGGTATGGCACAATGTCTGTAGTCAAGAAACGTAACGTCTGCACCATTTTACCGAGAAACACAAAGTGCTAATCTAGCAAATGTGCCTCGATGGTTGACACTTGAGGACATCGTTACAGCGCAACACTGTGGTTTGAGCAGCGTCCGACGCGGAAGCATTCATCGTTGAACAAAGATTGGATATGAATCCGATCTGTGCGTGGATACGCTATGAGATAGGTGTGTGGGTTTGTATGTGATTGGGGGTCCAAGTCGGCCCCCCCGGGAGAGCACACGCTGGTGTGCTCCTGGAACTCGCCTTTGAGGGGTGAGCGCCGTTCCTTGTTGTAGGTAGCGTGACCCGCTTGCCTGAGAGGCTGGCGTGTGGAATAATATATGATTGCTTTCCTTCATCTCTCTGCCGTTCCTGGGTAACATAGTCCCGAGTCTCAACACCACCGCTGAGGGTGGCTGTGCCAAATTTCCGACCTCGGTGACAACGCTGGTGACCACCACCAAGTCGTGACGTATCACCAAGTACAATGAATGATCAATGATGATAGATATGTTCACCTGCTCACAAAGTATCTGTAATGTGGTTTAATTTCTCACAGCGTTGTCTAAAAGATCACACACTAAAGTATCATATCATCGTCATTTAGTCTAGTAGGCTACATACTACCACGAGGTGACGACGCCATAACAGAGATAGTTCATTGTCGTCGTAGATCGAACCGACATTTATTGTGAAACGAGAGCAATAATACATCTACGCTCATTTGTGCGGCGTTCGAGGTGTGTGCGTTTGAACCTCTTTGTTCGGTTTTCTGGAATCACAGAGAGGTGGTTCTCCTAGATAGTAGATGCCCTCATTGCCTATCCCTAGCCGTTCCTGCAGCAAGCGTGCGGCACACGTGTCCCGTCTGAACCAAGAGTGCAAGTGTCGAGGAACATATATAGGGAGCGAGGGGCCGTCCCCAAAAGCAAGATCGTATGTAATTCGGACAGATTCTTCTCTGTCGTTAAAGTCAGGCGAGCCTACCGATCCGTTACTTACACAGTTTGCTCGTTGCGATTTGAGATTTGCTTCCATATCCATACATGTAACACTTAGTCTATGAATATATCTGTGCGTCTGTACGTTCGTGGTTGTCCATGTAGAAGACCAATGCGCTATCGACATCCTTGTAAGTCGATTGGTATAGACTATGCGACTTTTGCGGACGAACTATTACTGCTCGTGTGCATCTCGACGTGCGGTGATGGACATCATCCTCTCGCTGTGATCTCTCCGGATTGTCTGGGTGTCGAAGTTGTCATTGTCGTTTCCTGGAAACCCTATAGTCCACTTCCTTATTGCCTGGAGACTACATGCAATCGTCCAGGTCAGATACGCGACACGTTTACCACGTTGCACTACAGTCAAGCTTGCTACAGCAGTGTATCTTCTTCCACACTGATGAAGTTACGAGCTACAGACGGTAGTCTACACTTCTAAACACAGTCATTATCACGTCGACCACATCGATCGGTGGGCGTCAGCCTCTGTCACTGTGTATGTGCATCATAATCCCCATAACAGCAGACACGCGCACCGGGATTCGAACCCAATCTGCCCACTGTTTAGGGGTGGCATCGTCGATGACGACGGCGACCAGTTCTCGGCATGACTCTCGAAGGGCCTCTCGCTTGGGGTACATCGTGCACCCGATGTTTTCGTTCCAATCCGGTACGTACGAGCGTGCTGATTTCCACCCCCTTCTTACAGTCAAGAGATGGGATGTCTGTGCAGGTCCTATTCCTTTTTGACGTGATCGGTCAACTAATGCCTGCACGCTGCGTGAGAATGAAAAGACCTCAGGACGGGCGTGTCGTCTTGTCGTCCGTCGCGAAAAATCTTCCTTTCGGAACAAATTTAATGAAACCGTCGGAAAACGCCTGCAGAACCGATAGGCGCCGGCGTTGATTTCACGGAGCCCCCGAGTAAGATGCCTGATAAAGCCTGGTTGGTTTGGTCTGATACCGCCGCTGTGCTTCCTCTGTCTCTGCTAGTACACGCGCCTGTGAGAGTGCTCGATCTGAGCTGTGCGTTTGCGGGTTCCTTCGGCCTCCGCTCATCGGGAATCGCCACGGGGGAGAACGCATCGGCACACTCCCAAATCCGAAGCGATGCCGAACAAGATCACGATCGACCTTATCCGCCGCAGGGCAGAGCACAATGAAGGTCTCATCCACACCCTCGAGGAGCTCTCCCTGCACCAGGTCAGTGGCCAGCGAAAGCCATCGCTGCGTTTCAGACGAAAAATAGAGAGCACTGGGTCTCGAAGAAAAATTTCCCGTGGGTAGTGTTGCAGCTACACCGCTCGCTGGACACAAAGGAGTCCGCACCGGACCTACAGCAGTATCCTGCCTCCGCCTGCCAGATGTGTATCTACTCGGTAGACGCTCAGAGCAGGCAGAACATGCCCTGCAAAAATACCGCTGGCCCGGTATCTCCTGCGTCTACCATACTTTCATCAGTGGTTTCGTCGCCCTGTCTACACGCCGAGGTTGATAAGAAAGAAAACTAAACACGATTGCAGTGAAACGTGAATGTGGAGGCGGACAGAGAGAGGGGGCGGGTAAATGTGCAAACGTTCAAACCGCTAACATCAGCAGCACCAGCAGGGAGTATCATGAGAAGCAGCGGTGATATGGATACCAGCGGGAGGAGTGCAGTTTGGAGGCTCTGCTTCGTTTGCCTGCGGTTTGAACACGTACACAATCAAGGGTTTGGGAGGAAACACACCTCAAAAAGGGTGTTGCGTACGAGGAACACATGTATGTGCCCGTTGCCTACCACCCGTATGTTGTATGATAGTTACACACACGCCGGGTTCCCTGGTGGAGCCAACACGCCCATATCAGGACTTATTGCTGTTGCTATGCCTTGGATGGGCCAACGTCAAGTGTTCGGTTTTCACTCTCGAGGTGCTACAGCAGTAGCGGCTTTTAGTCTAGGCTATTCTCAGCAAGTCCCCCCAACGGTAAGGCCTGGCAAAGCAGCAGTGTACTATAGTAGCGGGTCAACCTGATCCCTGTTGTGGGCGACGCTCCAAGGAGGCGCAACGTTTACCATGGTACGTTTTAAGATAATATTATAATTCAATAGAAGTTCTATCCGTTCGAGACATGACCACAGTCGTGGAAGATGTGGTGTAGTCTTCATACAGCAGTGAGTGCGCTAGACTAGACACCGTTTGGCAGCATAGTATCGATTGCTGTGTTTCCTCGAGCCACACTTTCGCTTCGCAACGCTCGTTTTCGACCGGCTGCAGGAAGAATTGGAATCAATCGACGACACCCTCGGCTGCAACTGCCGCCGCCTCAAGATCCTCTATCTCCAGAACAACATCATCGGGAAGATGCAGAACCTGCACCACATGAAGGAGCTAGAGTACCTCAACCTCGCCCTCAACAACATCTCCAAGGTCTGCGTCTGTGGATGTGTGATGCTATGACACCAACAGTTGTGTAGAATGAGAGTTGATTCCCTACACAAATGAAATGCTCCGAACCAAATATGAAGAGCACAAGCAGGAGAAATCAGACAGTGTCAACCCTTTTGCCCAAGAAGGCTAACACCAAGCATAAGAATGTGCTTCTTTTTATGTTTTTCTTGCTTCTTTCGCTCGTTGACTCTCGGGACTCGACCCTGTCTTGCCGCTGCTGCCGCAAGCAGGTTGAAGGCCTGCAGTCTTGCGAGTTTCTGAACAAGCTGGACCTAACGGTCAACTTCGTCGACATGGACGAGCTGGAGAACAGCGTGTCTGCCATGGAGGGTAACCGGCATCTCAAAGACCTCTACATGATGGGCAACCCTTGTCAGGTGGGGGGCTAGATAGCCTCGCGACTCCACTCGTCGAGGACCCCATGAATAAAGGATGGAAGATTCGTCGCCAACAACCCTCATGGGCTACCACTGCGTGCAAATTGTTATTGCTCAGTGAGAGGGTTTGGCTCGACGGCCCATTCCCCCCTGGTCCAAAACATGGACCATCATGGCGTGCAAATTCTTACCATTGTTCTACGAGAGAACTTGACTCGGTTCTAGCCCGACAGCCCCTTCCGTCCAAGGATCTGCTGCTCGCATGTGTACGTTGCCGCTCATTCCCCCATGCTCTCGCGCTCTCCTGCCTGTGCAACAAGTGCCGCTCAAAAGAGTGTACCCCCTCTCCCCCCTCGGGCTAACGTGATGGTGTCGTGATTCTTCAGTCATGGGCTGGTTTCGAGGCGTACACGATAGCTCGGCTGCCTCAATTGGAGCGCCTGGACGGCAAGGAGATCACCCGAACGGACCGAATAAAGGCGCAGCAGCGGCTGCCTGCCCTCCGCAAGGAGATCCCGTTGTTGGCACAGGAGGTGACAAGTTTCGTAGCAGCAATGTGCCGGGTTATTCGGGGAGTGAGGAGGTTGGCGCAGGAGGTGGCAAGTTTTGGTAGCAAAAATGTGCCGTGTTTTACGGGAATGGGGGGAGGGGTAAGAACTGTTGAGGTGCAGATACAAAGTCGTGATGTATCGCTCTCTCCGTGTTTTTCATCGGTCCCTTTTTTCTTTTTTTGTATCCTCTGGCTGCTGCTGTGTTGCAATCTCGCATTCAACCATGTGGTACCGCTCAACAAACGTCCCACAACCACGCGTGCTGCACCCGCCTATTTCAACACGACTGCACAAGTGTTGTTCGTAGGCACATGCTTCCAGGCGAGACAAATTTCAATATCGGGGTGATACAGGTAACGAACAACGGCCTTCTCCCCCCTCCCCCGATCTCTCAAAAGGTGAGACAACGCAAGCTCGCCGAGAAAGAAGCGGCTAAATTAGAATCTCAGGAAAAGCATGATGGAAACAACAACAGCGACAACGAGCACAGCCGGGGGGGGGGCGTGGATGCCGACGACCACCCCACAGCCCCGGCGAAGAGCGACGGCGCCACAGACCAACCAGGACACGATGCTCGGCCTAGCGGCACCGACAAGTCCTGTGACGGAAAAGGGGAGGAAGAGGAACTTACGAAGCACACGCCGGAGGCCCGCACGGCGATATACCGCGAGATGGCCGAGCAGAAGAGGGAGAAAGAAGAACGGCAGAAGGAAAACTTGCCCAAGGACCGCAACTTTGAGCTCGAGCAGGTGAGAGAGAGGGGGGAAAGAATCTGGGACCCCCGGGGGGGGGGGGGGGGGTACCCCAAATTTTTACCCGGGGTTTTCCCTGTAATTTAAAACTTTCCCATCCCTTCTGGGCCGGGGACGAACCCCACAAGTTTTTTCTAAAGGGGGCCCGGCGGGCCCGGGGCGGCGGGCGGGGTTTCCCCTTTTTTTTTTTTTTTCCCCAAGGGAATCCCCCTAACGCCTACCCCCTTTCCAAAAAGAATACCCTCCCCCCCTTTTCCCCCCACAAGGAAAAAAAAGGGGGAATTGTAACCGTTGTTGCTTAAAATTTTTTTTTTCTCCCCTAAAAAGGCCCCCCTGTTTC